GTATAGAAGATAATAATTGAGTAAATTAAAAAAAGGAAGAGGGAAAAAAAATAAAGGTGATTATATATAATCGAAAAAAAAAATAATATTCCTAATGGAGGTTTCTTTTTATTTTCTTTTTCTGGTTTTTTTTTTTATTTGTAGTTAATTACTAGACATTTCACAGTTGAGGGAATCGAATCATCAGTCGTACGGAAGATCGCGTATAAACATTGTTGAGGATTGGAATCAGGCTCTGATCATCAGATTACCTGTTGCAGAAATCTAGTATGTGTATTCCGTAGTATCTAGTATCTTCTCTACGATACGGTAAAGGGAAGCTAAACCAAACTAAAGCAAAGCAAACTAAGCTGTCTAACTAATTAGATATATCTCTGAGTTAACATCTACCGATTCGTGTTCCTAGTTTCATTTTAATGGGAATTCGGTCGGTAGACTTTAACTAGACCGACATTTGAAATTCTGCAAATGGTATTAAGAATATATATATGGACACATATATACATGTATACTTATAACGTAAAATGCCGTTTTAACGATGCAACAGAATTATTACGAAGCGGAAAACTTGGAAAACCAGTAATACGATTCGGTCGTCACCGTTACTAATTTGCTCGAATAAAATGTGTCTTTTTATGGTGGGTGATGGTAGTGCTCTATCTTTGCACCAAAGAAAGAGAGAGAGAGAGAGAGAGAGAGAGAGAACTTGAAAATTGCTGAGAAACGTCGATTTGTCGTCAAAAAAAATTGACCAAGTAGTTTACGACAATAAAAACGGAAGGTATGCAATATATATATTATTATACTTGGTATACGTGTAAGCCTATACACATATATAGAAACTGAATTATATCATTTATTTTTGGTTATATTCATATCAATGAAATAAATTATTTCCAGAAGAGATGTAATCAATCAGGTTTCTACGATATTCAAAGTGTATTTTTGTTGTTATCTGTGATAATTATTGAAATATTAATTTGTTACAAGCTGCATGACTCACCGTGTATATATGTATAGATATAAATGAACATTTGTTATTCGTTATGGAATAACTCAATTTAACGTTAATTAACAAACCGAAATCCTGTTTCGAAACGCGATAATTATTCGCGAATTAATTTTTCCAATCAAATCCCATTCATCATTCAATAAAAGAAATGAGACTTGATTTTGAAAAAAAAAAAGAAAAAATATATGAAATTATTTATTGTGCACGGAGATCGATAGCTGCAGATACGATGTACGTATGTAAATCATATTTGCTGATGGTTCGTAGAAATATTTTTAGTGAAAGGCATTTCAGTGAAAGGAATTACTTTATGTGCACCGCGTGACTGCTTCTTGCATAAAAACACAATCTTACGTTTTTAAGCGCGTTCTTTTCTCGTCAATTTCAATTGTGTACGATTTCATTTTTCTATTTCCCATATCCGTTCTATAAATCTATATCTATTTAAATATATATATACATGTGCCAAATAAAATTGTTACGAATGGTCTTTTCTTTCGTTACGTTGCAAATAATATGGGATTGGGTGGTAGAAATAAGGGGGGTGACCTATATAAACGAAACGAATAGATTTTGGTATTGTAACAGCATTGAAACCTTATACACTCTCATAGTCGTAGACGTACACGCACGTACGAGTGTTACACATTGACAATGCTTGAACGATGTCTCGCGAAGACTCTTAAGGATTATAAGGTGTTAAAAACCGGTACAATCCTCTGTCCCGAAAAACCGGAACGCCTGGTCTCTCTCGCTCTATTTATAGACAGTTATGGCTTACATTCGTCTGCTAAAACGTTCAACGTCTATTACACTTTATAGAATGTATCATTAAAATCAATACGCAAGTTGGAAGAATTTCTCGAGAGAGGCCAATTATTTTTTATAGAAATTTTTATACTAAAGTGACTTAACACGAATCCTTTAAAATTAAATATAATTCGTTTCCAAAATAAGAAAAATTATTATGGAAAGTTCGTTTGGGTGAGAACCACTGGCTCGTTAAATACCGCAAAGAACAGTGACAACGCGCAAAGACGAAACAAGAAGGTACACATATGTTGAACATATAAATAATTTCTGTCGATACATCGGAAAGACGAAAAAAGAAAAAAAAAGGGGGAAAGAATTTGAAGATCGAAGATAAGATCTGTCGTCTAATTTTATCGATAACTCGTCGGAACGGTTTATAAAGGGATAAATCGAATTAACCCAAATAGATGGATGGGTTTATCAAGTTCAGTGTCGTCTTTAAAAGGTAAATGCAAAGCAAAGAAGAGAACAAGCGGACAAATTAAATTTGTAAAGAATCCATCAAAATGAATTTCCACTTATTTTTCTCTTCATTCATTTATTCTAATTAACTGGATATGCACCTAGGAAACTAAAGTCAAGGACGTTTTATGAAATCTATTGTACGTAATGACGTTGACAATTTCGTCGGAATTCTCTCTCGCGTTTCTATAAAATTTTATTTAAGGAGTGCCACCAGAAGGTAATTCCAGTCGACGTAAGTGGGTCGTGCAAAACCGAACACGAATCTTGCATCGTCGATCCAGATACGGACACGTGTGTATATATATATAACTATATATTTATACGCACCCGTTTGTGTGTGTGTGTGTCTCATCTACGCAAACGGACGGGCAGAGAGAGAGAAAAACGCGCACACATATGCACATATATCTATGCAATTGCATGTATCCGTGATAGGTAGAACGCGATCGTGGTCGCTTTGACTACCTTGACATGAATTCTCAGCGCGAACAGTCAGGGCCGGGGACGATCGAGAGACGAACTCCCCTTTCGTGTGTACATTTACATCTTCATATACATACAATGTACATGTAAAATACATATCTATTTCTTTCCTCGTTTCTATCTCTATTGCGATCGTTCTACTGTTTATAATCTAACGATAAAAAAATACGCGGAAGTTCTTGAAAAATGTCGACATGGCCGCTGAATCAAAGATATTATCGACGTATATTTGGATTGGCCGTTTGTTTTATTGGATATTCGGCTGTTCGATTAATGCGACGATTGCATTGTATCTTATCTTCATAAATAAGATTGCAATTTCCTCTAAAGAAAAGCTTAGAATTATTCTTAAAACGTACTTAACGTTCTACGTTGGACTTAACTATAGGTATGTATATTGTGTATTTATAAATGAAAAAAGTATATAGGCACGACGTGTTTGAAAGTGAAAGCATCAACGACGAGTGCTATTTAACCAAAGAGAAAGACCATACTTCACGCGCGAATAGATACCCAAGACAATTACTTTTGATTGAACAGAAATCGATATCGCTCAATGTGTGTCTTTCGGTACAAAAAACTCAACTATCCCGAACGTTTCTCTCTCTTGCTTTCTTTCTTTTTTTCTTTGTTGAACACGTTCGATTTCGCTATCTCTATTCGACATTTTAACAATAGATAAAACTTGAATCTCTCTCTCTCTCTCTCTCTCTCTCTCTCACACCGTCCAAAGGCTACTCTTTGTTACTTTCATTTCGAAAACAAATTAATATAAAATAAGGACAAAGAAAGATAGATAAAGAAAAAAAAGAGCCAAGGCGAAGAGCGAGCGAGACGGTAATTTCTTTTATCTCGTGTTTTGATCCTTTTTAGGTTAATTACATGCAAATCGTTGCATCGTTGCATCGTTGCTTATTTACTTGCTTGCCACGTTACTTCGCAGGGGGGAGGGAGAGAATTAATCAAGTGCTTCCATCTGATCGCGCGCTTTTCTCACCCTAATTTTCTCACCCCCCCCCCCTCACCTGAATAGTTTATATATTGAATTTCTTTTATTTCGTTTTGAAAATGTATTTGTTAAATAAGAAAAAGGTAGGGATTATTTAAATAGTATTGCGCAGCAGAGAAAATCAAATATGTTACGCTTATCTCGGTGTTATCTCTGTTCTTATTCAAACATCGATGCAACGAAAATCTCGTGCGATCGAAACGAGCCATCCAGTCAACTCCCATTCCCACCCCAATTGATAATCGCTCCAATCGGATTTGCGCGTTGCCAATGGCAAAATCTACACGTTCAAGTGTGCGATATCCTTCTTTCATATAACATCATTATTCACCTATGCGTGTATTTTAATAGCTGCTTTGGCTATTTCCAGGTTCCAAGTTTGCGTTTGCGTCTGCGTTGCATTGCGTTGCCTTGCGTTGCGTTGCATTGCACCGAGCCATGCTGCAGCTGCAATTGCAACGATGCTGCAACGCTGCTCGGCAAGCAACGTATGCACACGCGTTTGCCACATGTGCTTCTCCTCCTTCCTCTTTTTCTCCTCCTTCTCACTTCCCCCCAACGACGAACACCTGCAAACATTATCCGTATTGCAGGTGTGCTCTTGCATGCTTGCTTGCTTGCTGCTTGCTTGCTTTCTTGCTTACTTGCTTACTTGCTTACTTGCTTATTCGCGATACTCGTGTACATACGTTTATGTGCACGACACTTTGAAATAAATGGCATTTCAATCGGTGTCGTTCTTTAACCATCGGCATCGGTGTACGCCACTGACATAAGAAAGATTACATGCCGATGATTTAGGCTCGGTCAAAAATTTCTAACCAATTGATTTTGAAAATCATTTAAAGATATTTAGCTCGCTCAAAAACTGTTGACCCATCTTGTATGAAAAATTCCGATATTATCTACTAACGCTAACCGAATAATAAATAAAACAAGCAAGAATGCCGAGCACAGGAAATATCGCAGACGGGTGATTATTCGCAAACAAATTTGTTAACACCTGATTTTATTACGAGGACAGCTGTCAGGTTGAAAACGTTCACGCTTAATTGACTCCATCTCGATTTCCCCGAGACACTTTACACTGCCGATAAATTAACTTCGACAAAAAAAATATATTTCCTGTACATATTTTTGGACAATTTTTTGTTTATTTTTTCAACAAAAAATTGTATACATTTTGTTAATAATTTTGACCTAATGTTTTTGTTACAGTGAATCTCGAGGATAGTGGTGGTCAAAGGGTGGATATGGCTCATTTTGATTTATTGAAGGTGCTAGGTACAGGAGGTATGCAATCGAATCATAAATTATTTTGAATTCCTCTCATTTCCTTTCTCCTGGACTTTGTTGCTAAGACCTTATGTTAAAAATTCTTGTAACAATCCCGTATAAACGTGTAGACTTTATGTTTTAATGCATTTTCTTTCCTTTTTTTTGTTTACCTTACCCTCTTTTCTTCATTTCATTAGACATCCCTTTGACGAAAAAAAAAAAATAGAGAACAAAAAATTAGGCTTACGATGCGACAAAAGTCTCTATTGATCAACAACAATTTGCAGCTTACGGAAAAGTATTTCTGGTACGGAAAAGAGTGGGAACCGATGCTGGTCGGCTTTATGCTATGAAGGTCCTGAAAAAAGCATCAATCGTGCAAAAGAAAAAGACTACCGAACATACGAAGACCGAGAGACAAGTTCTCGAAGCTGTTAGAGACAGTCCTTTTTTAGTAACGCTCCATTATGCTTTCCAAACTGATGCCAAATTGCACTTAATTTTAGGTAAGCCAAGTCATACTCGACTTATTAACACTTTCATTCTTCTCTCTTGGTAAGAATAATAAAAATATATATTTGCTTGCATTTACAGATTATGTTAGTGGAGGTGAATTGTTTACTCATTTATATCAAAGAGAACATTTTACCGAAGACGAAGTAAGGATTTATATTGGCGAAGTGATTTTAGCTTTGGAGCATTTGCACAAGGTAAATTCTACACCGAACGCTATATATGATAATAATAATAATAATAATAATAATAATAATAATAATTAAATTTATTAAATTTATATTAATTAAATAATAATAAATATTATTAATATTATTGTTATTATGATGATGACATCTCGGTTTACCAGACTCGCTAATTTATCGAGTTTCGAATGGTGCTGTGGTGGTAGTAGTAATATAATATTTTTGGAATACTCGGACAAAATCGATAGCTCTGTCGATTGACGTGTACCGTTTACCGTATTCCTTTCGTGATTATATTTGGATACTACAAATATTGATTATGTCTGAAAATAAGGTCGAGATGTATTTTCCAAGCAGTATTATTTCCACTTTAAAAGCAATTCCGATGACACAAGCACATTTATGATGCTTTTATTCCAAGCCTTGAAATATTATTTCTCTTCATTTTTCTTTTTTTCTTTTCTTTCGAATCAAATAAAAATAATACGAATGAAAAATAAACAATCAGAATAATTGCATTTAAAATGTGAGTGAAATTAGAAATTTTTGGCCCACGCCCATTGCATTTCCAATAGTTCAATGATAATTATAAAGAATTCTCTTATTTCAGTTGGGTATCATATACAGAGACATTAAACTAGAAAACATACTCCTGGATAGGGAAGGACACATAGTCCTTACGGATTTTGGATTAAGTAAAGAATTCTTACCGCACGAAAGAGACAGCAACGCTCGAGCATACTCGTTTTGCGGTACTATCGAGTACATGGCACCGGAAGTGGTACGAGGGGGCTCCGCAGGCCACGATATTGTGAGTGAGGATGTTTATATCTTATTTCCTAATGTACCTTTTACATAACACACACGCAGATATACGCATATTATTTTACATTATTTATTCGATCGATGCAAATTTGATAATACATACAATATAAGTCCCCTCATATAATTTGGAAATAATATAAAAGACCAAATGAAAAATTTAATATATATATATATAACTACGGTAATAAATTAACGTAATCTAATTAACGTACGTCCAGTTTTATTGTCGTATATATTGCATGTATAAAGAAAAATACTGAGCTAGAGAAAATATATATCTATCTACACATGTATAAGTGAAGAAGAGCATGCTATTTAATGATAATAAATTGTTGGATATTACAGGCTGTGGATTGGTGGAGCGTGGGCGTGTTAACTTACGAACTTCTCACTGGCGCCTCTCCTTTTACGGTCGAGGGAGAGAAAAATACCCAGCAGGAGATCTCGAGAAGAATATTAAAGACCGAACCACCTATACCCAGTCATCTTAATCCAACCGTAAGGAACTTTATCTCGCGTTTGTTGGTAAAGGATCCACGTCAAAGACTAGGTGGTGGCCCTCGCGACGCCAAGGAATTGAAGGAACATCCGTTCTTTAGAAGAGCTCCTCCACCTTTCAGTTGGGATGCTCTAGAAAAGAAACAAATCACCCCACCGTTCGTACCGCGTATCACACACGAACTCGATACCAGCAACTTTTCTGACGAATTTACAAAAATGGTTGCTGCCGACAGTCCAGCCGTTGTACCACCTAATCACGATAAAATTTTTCGGGTAAAAGGCTTTACTTTTATTAGCGTTTCTTTATTTGTTCATTGTTAAAGTGAAATCTTGTGATTTTGAATAGGGCTACTCTTATGTAGCACCGTCGATACTCTTCAGCGAGAACGTGGTTAGCAGAGATATATTCTTCGAAGAAACAAAAGAAGCCAGTAGCGACTCTCAAAGATCTTCAACGTCGGACGTTTTAGCAATGCGATTAGAGGGGTCAACGTTCTTTCAGGCGTACGAGCTCGATCTACGAGAGCCACTAGGCGATGGAAGTTTTTCGGTATGTCGTAAATGTCGGCACAAAAAGACTGCTCAGGAATTTGCCGTGAAGATCGTTAGCAGGCGCATGGATTCTGGTAGCGAAGCAAGTTTGCTGCGTAGTTGCCAAGGCCATCCAAACGTGGTCAAGTTGTTTGAGGTACATCAAGATAGAGCGCATACATATCTGGTGATGGAGTTACTCTCGGGAGGTGAATTGTTGAGCAGACCAAGGCCGTTCACCGAGCAACAAGCAAGTCGTATTATGAGGCAATTGGCATCCGCGGTACGTTTCATGCATTCTCGTGGCGTTGTCCATCGAGATCTCAAACCAGAAAATATCATTTTCGTTCACGAAGGCAAGGACTCCCCAGTCAAGATCGTTGACTTTGGTTTTGCTAGATTAAAACGTAGTTGCGAGCCTCTCCTAACACCTTGTTTTACGCTTCCTTATGCAGCGCCAGAGGTAATTGCTAAACAAGGATACGATCAAAGCTGCGATTTGTGGAGTTTAGGTGCAATCATGTGTTGCATATTATCCGAAAGTTTACCTTTTAGAACAAACTCGCCAGATCTGGCCTCGCGTATTCAATCTGGCGAGATTAATTTCGACGCTGATAGTTGGTGTCATATATCACCTTTAGCCAAGCAAGTGGCAAAAGGTTTGTTAATGGTTGATCCAAATAAAAGACTCACCGCTACGGCCCTTGTTAATCATCCTTGGCTATTGGAGTCAACCAGCAGTACAACTGCTAATCCAAACGTTTCAGATGCTAATACTACTACTGTTACTACTAATACTACTCACACTACTACTTGCTGTCCTCCGACGTCATCGGCGCAGGATAAACTCGAAGGTTTTCGTTTGCGCGAAGTGGACGGAGCCAAGTTAGCCCAAAGACGTAAACTACACAAACGTTCGACGTCTAGTTCCGTATCCTCGTCTGCTTCGACGACTTCTTCGACCCTTTCGGTTCCAGTGCGACCTTCTAGTACGAGCACCAACGTAGCTACTTCTGCTTCGCCAGCTCGACCTATTGCCTTTGATTTTGGAGAGGACAAAGTGAACGAATACTTAAGTTCCTTGTCGTCTTCCTCCGAGTCCAATTCCCCAAAGATAAATAATGATCGACATCAAGAAGGAAAATCTAAACGACGCAAGCGTGACATGACAGACGACGACCCGTATCAGCAGGGAAGTTCGAAAACTAAACGACACAAGAGAAACCATGATCTTGACGGTGAATCCTATCAAAGTAGTAATAGTAGTAGTAGTAGTAGAAGTGGACCAGTTACGAGATCGAGAAAACGAAAATTAGAACAAAATGTATCCAATTCGGATAGCTCCATGGAATCCTATGGATTTTCCTCTGGTACCGACAAAAAAGAGGTCAATATTCATAGAAAACAAAAAGCTGGTAAACGGCCCAAGCGTTTTACTACGATTACAGTTGAGTAATGTTTCCTAAATCTTGTCTAAGCGGTAGTCTTATTCTCACTTAGTTTCCTATGCATTTTACAATAAAGTAATAGTGCGCTGCCTTTTGGGAATTACGTACAAGATATTATAAATGTTACATCATTCCTAATACGTGAGAGACAGAGATCTTTTAGACTATTGTACATATATTTCATTTAATGCCATGTTTTTTAATAGAATAACCAGAAATAATATACGTTTCTTGCTAAAGATTTTGTATAAAATGATTGCGAAGGGAATAGGGTGATATTATTATCGTATTTTTATGGTCAGGGTCATGATCATTTGTTTCTGTTAGAGAGTAACCGATAGTTATCAAATTCCTATTGTTTTTATTTTTTTCCCGTATAAGTAATACCTATTAGCAAAAAATAGTTTGAAAAATTATTCATCCTACTTTTTTTTCTGGTTACATATATTCTTTTTTTCTTCTCTGTCTTTTGTTTAATTTAGTTTCGCTTCTCTGTAATCAGAGAAAAGTCAAATATGCATTATGGGTTGTTAGGATAGATACGTAGTAAATGTGCCTCAATAAAATCCATTTCCTATGAATGCGTCGAGTGAACCGTTGAATGTGTTGAAAGATAATATTAAATATGTTGATGAGATCGCTAAGAGTTCATAACATTCTATCAATGAAATTATCTTATTTTCTATATAAACGTTTACTTGTTAAACAGAAGAAGATATTAATTCTTTATTTAATAACTCTTTAAGCATTCAACTTTCACCCTATAAAATAATAAATATTAAAAATGGATTTAACTCGAAGTTCCCTTGTCATTGCTGGAACATTGGGAAGGAAGCGATTAATAAATGATTTGTATCTAAGTATTCTCAAACGAATCGAAGCACGATTATAATATAGATGATTCAAGATTATATTTGTATTGCTTACGTACATGTATATCTTTTTGCTACTTTATTTTCATCATCTTATCTGTATTTGTTTTCTTCTCAATTTAGCATTACTTAATGAGACATTTACAAAATAGATGAGAGATTAATTATGAAAAGATAATGTTGTATGTTCAATTGGACAAACGGGAGTGAATATATTTGATTATAAATTAACATTTTACCATTAGTCAGAAGTATACTGTTTATTATAAAGAAATACAGTGTATTTCTTGTTAAATAAAAAAAAACAAAGAAAACCGAGCAAAGTACTTGATTTAGTAATTTTTTCGTTCGTAGATTTTGTGATTTTGCTACAAAATATATTATACCTAATTCTTCTTATTTATAAAATAACAAAAAATAAATAATAATTTTTATTGTTCGTTTGTACATATAGTTACGTTGGATTACTTTACATTATATTCTTTGCGCAGAGTTTTCCATATACACGAGGGTATTATTGAAATTGCCTTTAGAGATATCGACTGTTTTACCTGATGTGCGGTAATTGCTGTCAAAGATGCGAGTAATAAATGGCAAAGACTGAAAAGGTTGTATACCAACTCAGGGAACAGACATGCTAACGAAAAACGTCTTGTGTTATTGATTCGAGATAGTTGCAATTAAAATTCTATGACGTTACTACCAAAGACGACTGAAGCAACATTGCTCCGTAAGACCAAAAAGAACTGTATGTAACATTGAAATGGAGTTATGTGTATATACACCGATTACTACCGAATTGTATCATTTCACAATATAATAGATATTAATTAATTGTATAAATATAAAAAAGAAAAAGATAAAAAATTATATATTTACTATATAACATTATATATATTAGGGAGAATTATATTCTCTTAAATAAGAAGAATATTTCTATTTAGGATTGTAAAAGTCATTAAATCTTGTAAGTTTAATCGGTTATTCAGGAGCAATGTAACATAATAAATGATGATGATGCGTTACATTTATTATGTTACAATAACGGAAACAGATTCTCTTTTTCTAGTGATATCTCATTGTTAAGGTATAAAGAAATCTTTCAAGAACATATATATGTATGTATATACGTATACACACACATATATTATATACAACGTTATATACAAATTCAAGCTTGTATCATACGATAAAGAGTGCTGTTCTGTTGCGACAAGTACATACAAGAGACACCTACCTTTGTTACTACTGGTTGTTAAATATATCATGATACAATATTTATTTATATAATGTACCTTCCTAGTAATGTTTATTATTAACCTTGCACCCAAATATTCAATTAATTTAATAGACTACAAATTTTGATTTCCTGTACATTGTGCAAAGTGTAGTTGTTAATATTAAAAATGTTATACTTTATTTCGTATACACATAGTATTTCTATCATCTAACAAATGGGAAATCATCCATTTTCTTTCTAACGAATGAAATGAATTATTAGAAAAATTCAAAAATCGGAAGTTTACACCCCTGCTCCAATTAAAATTTAATACGATGACGTTACCGATGTAAGAGAATGCGCATAGGATATAACGCATTTCTGCGCGTGCGCTGTAGGAAGTTGTTTTTTTGCTGCTGCAATGTAAAAATTCTGTTCTGTTATTTGCTGAGCAAAAAAGAACCTAAACGATAATAGAAATAAGAGACCTTTTAACAAATAAATAAAAAAGTACCACGACGTTTAAGTTTTAATCGTTATAAAACGTGTAAATAAAATTGTTGGAATTATTAATCAAAGTTCTAACCTGTAGAACGCTGTTAAGACGATTGAAATATAGAGAAAAGTAGGGAGAAAAAAAACGAAGGAGTGAGCGACGTCGATGGCTGGGCGTTGACCAATCAGAGCGAATTATGGGCATTTGGAAGTGACGGTGATATGAGATCAGCGCTAAAGAAAGAAAAATCCCCAAATCAACGGCGTTCGTAAAGGAAGCATCGGGGAGAGAGAAAGAGAATTGCGCGAGTATGATTGGTCGAGAAGGGATACGCGGTGTTGGATGTGGTAGGGGTACTCGCGTGAGAGAGTCGCCTCGTTGTAGCGTCAGCACGCACTAAGCGGTTCAATCTGTGCGTTAACGAACACTTTCTTTCATAAGAGGCTTGAAAAAGCTCAACAAGGTAATTATTTAGCGGACGCGTTGCTAGAAAGTGCAGTAAGTTGATGCTTCGACGGAAGTGTGTTATGAAGGAGAAATAGCCGGGGGGAAGAAAATTACCAGTTACTTAGAGTAAGTTTCTCATTCGTAGATAAATCCTTGGAATATAAGGACGGCGGAATATAGAAGAGAAGGAAGAAGAAGAAACAGCAAATATGTCGACGAAATCAAATAAGAAGACGTCCTCGACGACTATGTCTTCTAATACGAGCACCATTCAAACACCACCACCACCACCTCATTCGTCCACACCTATCGGTGGCCAAAGACCTGGCAGTCCATTAAGTCCTACGCGTTATTCACGATTGCAAGAAAAGAAGGATTTACAAAACCTGAACAATCGGCTAGCATGTTATATTGACAAGGTGAGGCACCTCGAAGCCGAAAATTCAAGACTTACGCGGGAAGTACATACTACACAGGAAACAACTACACGCGAGGTTTCCAATATTAAGTCTATGTATGAGCAGGAATTATCCGATACAAGAAAATTGTTAGATGAAACTGCCAAGGAACGGGCTAAGCTTGAGATTGATACAAAACGATTATGGGATTGCAACGAGGAACTTAAAAATAAGTGAGTATATTTATTCTCCATATGTTTACTTTCTTCACTGCTTATGTTTTTTTCTTTAGCATAGGTAGCATACGTTAAAGATTCAATTTAATGGGAGATAGACTGATATATATCGGTTATATATGTTTAAAATATTTTAAGAATGATTTAAAATCGTTAATATTTGATTTCTTTCTAGAGTCCTATAGATTAAAGGTACTTTCATTCGAAAGATGTTTTAGGTATAATATTTGAAAATAATAAAAAAAAGAAAAAGGCACGTTAAAAGTAGGTCAGAGAAAATACCATCTTGTTTATGTTTCCATATCATGCTATATTCAAATTTTTACGTAGATCAATAACAGCTGCTTTTACATAATTACTTTCAGTGATTAGTTTTTTTGATAGAATTTGATACAAATTCACGACGACAAATAATAGAAAAATTTGAAATATTTAACAAGATATTTTACATAAAAGGTGTCTTTGCAAGAAACCAAGGTTTCCCAAAATCAATATGTCTGAAAAGGGTAAAAGATGTGTAGTTTGATATGGGTGTTGAAATATGAGTTATAGATATGAACGAGTCTGCAAACATAATCGATTATGTCGATAATTGATTGCAGTTAGATGTAGAATCGATATTTAGAGGTCTCGTCCAAGCCGGAACGTGACGTTACTACGTCGATTGCGTCACTCTTACTACTATGCGATGATGTCAGCCCGCTCATTCCTGTATTCCCTGACCTAAAAACATTGACTCTCTTAAATGCACATGACGGCCAAAGCAAAGCTCTATAATACGTATACATACATATACGTAGGTACATGACAAACCTATTCCATGAAAGATAGACACTCCTTTCCCGATAGAGAAATCGTTTTTATTAGACTATTAAAAAGGATAGTCAGTCTTGTATCAACGTGGCGTTCAACGATAAATCTAACAATTTTCAAATTTAAAATCAAATTTCAAATTTTTTTTTAATCTATTTCATACTTAAACAAAAACACATTATATTCAATCGATCGTCGTTATTGTCCTATTGAAAATCATTATTTTTTTTCAACAATAAGTTATCGCCTTTTGAATTCGAATATAATTTAGTGAAATCGTTTGGACAACTTTTTTTTTATCCACTATCTCTGTTATTCATCGAGAATATTTTGGGCAATGAAAGCACGAAACTCGTTTTTCGTTTAGATTTGACAAGTCGATTCGTAGGAATTTACTGCGGACTCGTAACCAGACCAAATAATTTCGAACGAACATTTGCTAATGTTCAATGTTTACGTTATATTTATTCTCATTGTTATTTCGAATTGGGTATCTTTCGAAATAAAGATTTGTTTATAGGAAATGATAGAAGTAGAAGAGGGGGATCGATCTATTATACGTTTTCTTTTTCTTTATTTCTTTCCTAAGGGCTACTTTTAAAGGGAACGTTCGGTTTGAGTAAATACAGGTGTTTAAAAACGCAAAGAATGCTTCTCTAGACGCGAAGTATGACATCATTTCTTCCTTCGATAGGATAAACCGTAATGACGATAATGGTGTCCTCGATTAAATGTAAACGGGTTTATCGATAAATTCTTCATGTCTTTTTCGTGCCATTTTCTTTATATTATGCAGTTCTTTATCGCGAATTCGATATAATGTATTTTAATATATAGGACAGGTCCAAAGTACCTAGGTATTTTTTCCAGATATTTTGGATTAGTTTTTTCTTGTCATAAATTGATAGTTTTAGTCCATCTTGTATATTCAGAATATATATATATATAAGATGAGATAAACTCTATAATGTTTGATTACAAATATCATTTTGTTCGTTATCAATAATATTTTTATATAGGTGGCGTTTCGATACGAAATATTCTCTGAGCATTGAAACGCTAAAATTTATTTTTTTCGTTTATCTTTTTGTATTTTTGTATTTGAAATACGAGTCGAGCAAAGTCTGAAGCAAAGATTGTTAAAATAAAGAACAAAAATCTAATCACACACACACACATTTATCATGCTATATATTTTCTTAAATATTCATAATGTCATATACATTGTAAGTGCCATATGAGTTACTCAGAAGCCAATACAGTTAAGTCGAAAAAACAAAAATTAAGAAAAAGGAGTAGGCTCTGCAACAAAACAAGATATAAACAGGATATGCAGCATCTTAAAAACTTTAGGACTTTCATCTTTAGGTACCTGAAAAAAATGCCACTAATTTCTTCATTAATTGTAGTGAGATATTATATAAGAAAAATTGTAAATATATAAATTTAGACATTTTCAATGATCAAGGTAATCTATTTCGAGCGGTGATTGGTCGAATTTATAGTTTTAAGTGTGAAGGTGGTAATACGTGTTAGACGTTTCAGAAAACGTGCAATGGGACATAAAGATGTGCCGTTGTTGTTGGAAACGAAAAAGTCCACAAAATAGTAGCTGACATCATAGGTCGATTCCTGCCATTGCAAACCGGTCACGAGAAGGTTCCGCTGGCCTTAAGGCCATTGATCGCTACAACGGGAAAAGCTATAAGCCGGTTCTTTCTCCTTACCTCTGCCTACCTCTCTCTCTCTCTCTCCAAGATAAACATTTAATCGTTATTAGAAAAGACAAATATAATCACAAAATATATTAATATTTAATTAAATACATTTTTTAAAAAAGAACTTTATTTGTTTTCTTTGACTTAAGAACATAATATGTATTATCCGCGTGCATGTTCGTTGCATACGTGCTTGATTTTAATCTCGTTCGTGTCGTTGCAACAAAATTGCAAATTTGTAATTAAATTATTATACATATACATGTGTGGGAATATAGTCATATATATATATCGTGTAGGAAAGCAAGACGCGAGGACGAGAACGGTTAATCTTTACCCCATACTGAGATAGAACGTTGCACGTTATGTGTACACCAATCGTTCGTATAGATCACCGTAAATCCGTCATTATTAAATTTACCAAAATTACGGTTCGTAATAAATCGGGTTTAATTATAAAGTTAGGAGAATTACCTTCAAAGGAATTTTCAATTTGAAATCAAGTTAAATCGCAAATGAATTTTCTTATATTAACATTATCAAAGTGTATAACTAGTTTATAACAATAATAAATAAAAATAGGAATTATCGAAAGAATCGATTAGAATTAGTATTATAAGCTATTGGATAGCTCTGGTACGGGTTACAGGTCGGTAAAAGTAGACTGGAATATTAGACTGCTTTGGTTCGGCATGGTAGAAAATAAAATTCTCGATGTGGGTCGTGTTCCGTGTCTGAAATAGCGGCGAACCGAGTATAGTACTCGCTTCGGCTTTTCTCTTCGGCTCCTTGGAATGTCTTTTGACCGATATAATTCTGGAGTTTCTCTTCAACAATCTTCCCTTCAATTTGTTACCACAAACAAATTTTCTACAGAATACAAAAAAATACCATTGTAAATTGAAGCCCTTATTATTTCAGATATGCTTAAATATATTCATTTATATGTAATGTGTAGTCAAACGTGTAGGTAATTCTCCATTGAGAGACGACAAATTTGTAAAATTATTTTTTTTTTTTTTTTTTTTTTTTTTTTTTAAATATTTTTTTTTTTACAATCTAGTCATAGAAATCGTCTTTACGTAGAGTCCAAATTGAAAATACTGAAATAAATGAAAGCGATCCAGACGGTGTGCCTCCTACGCGAATTTCTTTCTCTGTCCCCTGCGTGGACAAGTTTATTTATCCCCACCATTCCTACCATTATTGCCATCACCATCGACGCTACTTTCATCTTAACATTGGATAGCGACATGGGATGAGGAGGCCAACGCTATTTATGTAAATAATATGGGAATGTAAGAGTAAAAGTAAGAAAATAAGAAAGAACATGCTTGTAGTGTACGTGATCTTAAGCACATCGATCATGAAATTCGTTGCTACCCGCGATTGTGCGAAGTGGGGATTTCAAACGAAAAGGTTGTTTAAGGTGAAATACGCCAGAAAGAAAAGACAACAAATAGATATTTCTAGAATAATACAAAGATGCTTTTAAATCTACAGAGCTATTTCTAGAATAAATAAAGATGATTTTCTGGTAGGTAAAGCTACAAGAAATGTTGTCCCCTGTTGTTATGATATGAAGGAATGAGAGAGAGTATGTGTGCATGCGTGTGTTGCGTAGATGAAGAAATAAGTAATGTAAGACAAAAGCGAATATATACTTCTATATTTCTACTTATCTTTTTCGAAGATATCCGTGAAATAAAGATGGAAGATTTCTGGAGATGACGTAGTTGTTCGATTCATTCGTCAGTAATTCGTTTTACACGGTTCAATAAAAAAACATCTTGACCTCGTCCTGTATAGGTCACGCGATATTATTCATTGTTGCTTCGGCTAGTAGTCCAAGGATTTCGAGATGCGATCGACGAATAACGAGAAACACTCTGCTAACCTTTGCTCGTATATTTTGACTTGTTTTAAACACATTTGAAGTAGATTCGACGTCGAGCAACATTGTTGAACGTTCCGGCTCGTGTCGGTAACAATAAGATTAACGCAATTAAATTATTCTTGTTCGATATATTACTTGCTACTTCTTAGAATTATTTAGAGCAAAGTAGTTTGATAATAAATTGTGGTTTGTAATTTCCTGCGGTACTATAGTTAGATCAAGGAATGAATGTATTAGAAAATATGAATAAAATGTATTATTTTGAAATAGGAAAAAGAAGAAAGAACTCAATGATTTTCTTAATTCTTACGTTTGATCTAATTTAGAATGAGTGAAAGATAGGAGGTATCTAAGTTGAGAATAATAGGGAAGTGTGATATTTCGAGTTTCCTTCTTCTGGAAGGCACTTTTATTTTAGGATCAGCTTCCCGGTATCTAATTAGAAATTACGGGACTAGGAGAAATGTGTTTCTTAGAAGTTTCTTTGCAAATGAAATGTTAAAATTCATTGATTATATATGTTACGTCCTAACGTTATTAAATTTGTTATATTATTAATACAAGCGGAATTCGACATATGTGGTTTATAGTTTATATTTTATATCTTATATTTTATATTTTATATTTTATTTTCTAATAACTTTAGTTTAGGATTTATGGTGTTTATCTAAATTTAGAATTTATTTGTCACTAAGACGTGAAAGTCTTTTGTAGAACGATACTAATAATATTCCTTTTGTTTTTCTCTGAAAGCTACTCTTCTTCTGTTAGTTTTTGCTTCTTTCTTGCGTATTTCTTAAAATCTTATTTTCGTTCAAATCCTTRTTGCGCACTATCGCAGGTAGCAACAGATCACGCGATCGACGTGTTTACGACCACGTACGCTAAAGGGCGTGGATCACGTGATCAACGTGTTCTCTTCTATTTTCTTATTTTAATCTCAAATTTCACATATATTAACAATAGCTATATTGAAAGTTAAGAACGCTTCAATTTAGAATTAAGTCGTCACTAAGACGAAACCACGTGATCGACGTGTTTTCTTCTATTTTCTTATTTCAATCTTGAATTTCTCATATATTAATATACGTAGTTATATATCATATATATAACATACGAGTTTTGTTGAGGCTTTTAAATAATAACGATCAAACTAACGAAGTTTTAGATGTATTGTGTTTTAGAATATTATAAAAAGAAATGTATGTCGAAATTAAATAAAAAAGACGCTGAGCTTTGATGATTAAGTTGCTGAAGAAGTCCCAATAAAGGGACGAAACGTCCAACTCAATCAAATTAAGTTCTACTTCTTTTCATGTCCAAATTCCCTATGAAATTTTATCATTAAAAATTATAATTTTGGACGAGAGAAAATACTAAATATATATGAGAATATTCTTCTCCAAGGGTTGCGTTTCGCGGGAGAGAAAATTGTGGTTAAGAAAGCATTTTACGTAAATGGGAGGTACTCCCACTATTGCGAATGGGACTCTGCATAGTGGGGTTGCGTTTTTCCCTATATATAAGCTACAGCTTAAATTCGATWGTTCAGTGTTCGCATAAAATTGAGTATATTACACATAATTTGAATAGTTCGCATTAGATACTAAATCTCTGATTTTTGCTAGTAATTGTAGTTTAACATTCGATACTAAGATTCCGAAATTTGTTACTAATTATAATTTTTCTTCATTTGTTATTAATCGTAAGTATCCCACTTTTTGTTACTAAGATTCGAAATTTGTAATTATTTTTAAGCTTTTGTTACCTAAATTAGATGCTAAGATTCGAAATTTGTTATAAGTTTAAGAATAAACTTCTTTTTCTATCTCTATTTTCGAATTTTGTAATTGCTCCTGTRCAATCCCCCTTCTGGGACGTAACATATATTACATTCATATTCAATGTATTATTACAGATTGGAGAAAAAGACAAAGGATTTGCAAATAACCGAAAGAAATTTAAGTTTGTACGAAGCGAGAAACAATGATTTGACATCTCAATTAACTCAATGTCAAACCGAGCGTAAAAAAATTACGGATAAGGATAGAGAATTGGAAAAGGAGAATGAACGATTGAACGCAGCTCTGAACGATACGCGTCATCATCTGGAAGAAGAAACGTTACAGCGTATAGATCTTGAAAATCATATTCAAAGTCTCAAAGAAGATTTAAGTTTTAAAGATCAAGTATATCAACAAGAACTTACCGAAACGCGTTCGAGACGGCAGGTTCGTTTCTATTTATAATATATTTTTCGAAGATTTATTTCACATCATTTTTCTTGTTTATTTTCCTATTAATAATCTCTTACGTTTATATATTTTATTTAGGTTGAAATCTCCGAGATAGACGGAAGATTGGCTGAAAAATATGAAGCTAAATTACAACAATCATTACAAGAATTGCGTGACCAGTATGAGGCACAAATGCGAGCCAATCGCGAGGAGATTGAAATGTTATATGAAAATAAGATCAAAAACTTGACTTCACATGCTCAACGTAATAGCGATGCAGCCAATAAAGCTATCGAGGAATTGAGACAAACTCGATCAGGAATTGATACTTTCAAGCAAAAGATCAACGAGCTCGAGGCCTCTATCAATGCTTTGAATGCGAGAATTCGGTACAAAAATACTTGCTCCTTTATACAGATTTGCCTACATTGTTCCGTGCAAATATTAATAGAAAAATATTTTTATAGGGACTTGGAAAGTCTACGCGAGAACGAACGTATGCGGCATGCTGAAAGTATAGCCGCTTACGAAGCAGAATTAGCTCGCATGAGAGATGAAATGGCTCAACAATTACAAGAGTATCAAGATTTAATGGACATAAAGGTTGCCTTAGACTTGGAAATTGCTGCATATCGTAAATTGTTAGAATCCGAGGAAGCTAGGTATAATTGTACACTTACAATATTTATTAATAAAAAAAAAAAAGAAACGGGTTTATTATTTCTCTATATCGTTTTTAGGTTGAATATAACACCAGCAACCCAATGTAGTACTAGTAACGTGACACAGACTAGCAGAAATACTCCAGCAAGACAAACACCTCTGAGAGGAAAGAGAAAGAGAACTTTACTAGAGGAAAGCGAAGAACGTAGTAGTAGTGACTACAGTATCAGTGGTACAGCAAGGGGCGACATTGAAATTACGGAAGCTGATCCTCATGGTCGATATGTCAAACTTACTAACAAGGGTAACAAAGTAAGTTCTATTTACAATATAAATATGATCATAAAATTGAACAAAGGTTTACAATAATAATTAAATTGTATTCTTATAATTAGGAAATTGGACTCAGCGGTTGGCAAATTATTCGCAAGGCTGGCACTCTAGAAACAGTCTTTAAATTCCATCGAACTGCAAAACTCGACTCGGGTGCAAGCGTATCAGTTTGGTCAGCTGATATTGGTGCGACTCATGAACCACCATCCAATATCGTTATGAAGGGTCAAAAATGGTTCATTGCAGAAAATATGACTACAGTTTTACTAAACAATGACTCAGAAGTATAATTCTTTTTTTCTTCTTGTAACTCTTGTTCGTTTTTATAGATACTTATTGTGTATGTAATTAATATAAATTATTTCTGATGTCTCGATAGGAAATGGCAACATCTGAACGAAAACGACAACAGTTGTCCACATCTGTTTCACGGCATAGAGAAAGTTTAGGATTCCGACCTTCAGAAGATCTCCATTACCAGCAGGTATGAATCAATATCTGAAATATATGATACGAGATAAGTTCATATATCACTATATACACCCTTCTCGTATTTTTCTTTTCTTTTCTTTTTTTTTTTTTTTTTTTTTCTTGCAAATGTTTAACGTGCTTTTACAGTCTTTTAAGATAAATTATTCACGTACGATCAAGTAACTCTTATCACATATATTTTTACTTAATCAAGTGTGACGTTAAGAATCAATATTCTAATTTTTTTTGTATGACAATGGTTTTATAGATAAAAGAAATGAAACTAAAATGTAGTCTCAGCTAATTTGTTAGGTAATCTGTTTGGGTAAAAAATAGTAACCGGTAAAGAACAAGAAGACAATGTGGCTATATTGACAGTAGCTTGTTATAAAAGATAAAAATAAAAAAATTCCAGTTATTTATCATAATTTTAGACTGTTAAAGATTAAAGATTAATTTATTTATAGGGAGGAAGACAAAAGTTTCCAGATGATTTTTAAAATCATGTTGAAACATCTTTGGCCCAGTTAAGAATTTTTACATCACCCTGTACTATATGTGCTATGTCTATAATATATATATGTAATTGTAGAATATATAGTATAGTAATTCCATATAGTTATAGTATTACCAAATTGTTAAGGAGGGTGTTGCGCATTTTACCGACACTCGCTTCTTGTTTTCATAGAGAAGATATCTCTACCCATATTAAGTGCCTGGGCACATGAACTCTGATGGGCATCTTATGTAAGTTGATTTCAAGCAATCGGATGTACGATCGTTCAGCTACTTGTCAACGATATTAATATCTTCTGCACTTTCATCATACTACGATTATTTGGCTTATTACTTTGTTGGTCTTCATGCAGCACACCTATATGCCTTTATACTCACGCTTTTATAACTAAAACATCATATGCGTTTATAAAATAATATGTTTGACGCGGATACATTCACATTTTCATAGTTAACCACATTGTCTTTAGAAAATACTTATAGTTACATATATAATTGACTATTTTTCCGGAAAGCTTTCACAATTTTATATATATTCGATATTTACATATTTATATTCTTGATTATTAATTAATTATAAGATAAGTGTTCTTTCTTTTTTTTTTTACTTATCTATAATTTAATCACAAATAAAAAAAATAAAATATTAAAAATAAATAAAAGAAATATTAATGTATGCTTGTCTTTTTGTGACTAATGTAAAATATGAGAAAAAGCTGTCTATTAGGTCATTAAACGTATGTTGGGCTGATGGCAAAAAGATAATTCTTGGAATTACTCGAAAATTATCTTTTTTCATTGAAGTAATCTATTTTGTGTTTCAGGGTGATGCACCGGGTGGTCCCGAACGTTGTCGCCTTATGTGAACATATTAAATTACATTTATTAGAAATAAGCATTTTTATTATAACATGATTTCTTCAAATACTTATATTTAAAATACCGATATTTTATGCCACGAGCAGTATATAAAATATCAACGATTATAATATTAACATACAGATAAAATAAATAATAAAAAGAAGTAAGACTATGTCGAAAATATATATATCTAGGGCTCGATACATTTGTAAGCTGATTATCGTTTCAGATAGACAGGATTAAATGTAAAAATACATACGAAAAATGAATATCTAGCTAAAATTAAAATGAGAGACATGGTATGGTATAATATTGTTCACAAATCAAAGTTTATAATTATAATTTTTTCTATATTCGTACGTACATAAATATTATTTATTTTTTTTTAATCATTCTTTTGTGGTTACTGTTTTTGTCGCGTCACAATTCTTAATTTATTTGTACTTTTCTTTTTTTACAAATCCTGATTCTTGATGGAATTGTTCTTTCGTTTGTTGAAGCTAATCTAATTAAATGGTGTCATGCCTTGATGTTTTGTGCTTTTATAATTATCTCTCTCTTATTATTCAATATATCATTGGGAATGAAAATGAAATAGTACACTGTTCGTGAAAATTACAATTCTCGTACGATAATAAAGAATTAACAACAAGAGAAACGTATTTATGATTCCATTGAGACGGTTATCACTTGTAGATTCGAATATAAAATTATTCTATATAATTGTAAACAAATTTATATATCATATCATTTATGTTAATAATAAAAATCAGAAATATTAACTGTAGCAAAGTGTATTCGTAATTTCTGTTTATTTGTTCGTTTAAATAATTAAAATTATGAATATTGTATTATATTGCCAATTATCAACCAGTAATTATGGAAGTGGTCTGAATCGTTTGGAATAATAAAAATTATAAAATTTTGTCTTTTTTCAAGAATATAATATAAATAGTTACTTTATTTTCGGGTTTGTCATTATAGGAAAATAATATGCATCTCAATACGAAACATATGATTTTTAATCCATTTCCATAATCATCGGTTCATATGTTAAATAAGAACATAGAATTTTTCTAAATTTCAAAAAATAATATTTTTCTTGATCAACACTAGTCTACATTATTTTGATATATATATTACTACCATTCAGCGGTTGAATAATAAAAGTCAACGTTATGATTATTGTTAACTCATTAAGATCGATGTTTTATTTAACAATTCAATCGCTGTTGGTTAATTCAAACAGTCTTCTTTTTGTTACTTTTAATCTTCAAGAGTATTTTTTATATTAAATAATACGATTATAATCTATTTTCTCTTTACTATAAGTACAAATGTTTCGTATACTTTGAGCACAATAACCAAAAGTTAGGATACATAAATAATATTATTAATTATTTGGCGGTGTAATAAAAATATATATATGTGTGTAAGGATTTCAATGTATTTCGAAAAATGTTTGTCACTTTTTACGATCCTCTATAAGTTTCTGTGCACAATTAATACAACCATATTAAAAATCAATGCATAATTTTATCCTAAAAATACAATATTGTAAGAAAAAAAGTGACATAGATTTTTGGAATCTCCAACACAGATCTTACGACAATGTATTTATATAGGAAGATAATATTTGTCCTGTATCAAAATTTGATCCAAATAAATTTCTAACTAACTCAACATCTAACAACGTTTGTTACTTTAGACATTCATTTGAAGATCGTTATCTTGTCTGTGTACAAAAGCTAAAAAATTTATTACATAAGATGTCCTCGATCATATCTTTTATACATGCCACATAATAGAGATATATGTTAGAGATATTTATATATATATATGTATATACATATATCTCTACCTGTTGGAAATTATGATCTGGTAATCTACAACGCTCTCGTGATATATTTCTGACACGCGGACTACGCGAGGGTGTTTAATTCAATGTAAAATTAAAATCATTGCCCCAACACCCTTGTATGTTCAGGAACCTTATCATTGCTCTTCCATCGTCGTTCAGCGTGAATCCCTCTCTCTCTCTCTCTCTTTCTTTCCGTCTATCTATCTTCTGAAGATACGCAGGAAATGGGGTGTTTAATATTAGGTGGTCGAGTCTGACCCCTTGACTCTACACGTCGTCGATAGAGAGTCCAAGAGGAGAGACAAAATGGTGAGAGAGAGAGAGAGAAAGAGACGTAGGTAAAACACGGTTCCCCCCTTTTCGAACAAATTGACGTGTCCGAGGAAGTGATGGAAGGATGGTACAATGCGCTCGAACACATTTTACAAGCGAACCAATGGGTTCTATATTAAACTAGAACTCCGTGCGTCCGAGCTTGACCGAGCAAAGTTGGTGTACGCTCAGTCGTCTGGGGTTGTCCCTCGATCGCTTCTTCTTTCTCTCGACTTTTTTAATCGGGACACCTCTGGAGAACCAACCACCGTTTCTCGATGATCTTATTCTGAAAGAGAAGAAATCGTCTCTTAATCGGAGACTCGTCTTTGTTACAACTAAAACTTTAAGATCGATGTCCTGAAAATTTCAATACAGTCTCGAGAACCTTCAGTTCGAGGGACAAGGATTAAAGAGAAAAAAAGTATTCATACTGCATCCAGTTGGAGTTATCAACGTGAAGAAAACATTCGAAGAAGTTTGAAATTAAATATTTGAAGTCAGTCAATAGAAGGATTTTATTTATCCTGATTATCATGATTAAAGGAACCTTTCTGTTGCTTCTTTACGCATCTTGCGACATAGGTGAGTTCGATCATCCACTGATAGTTATGTATTTTGATGTCATTTGTCCATGTTCATCTGGCACTCTTTACTTATATAAATCAGTAGAAAGTATTAATAGCAGACGAGACTCGGCATTCCTACCATTCAAGGGATTCGAAATACTTTGAAACGATATTTCTTTTTCTAGCTTTTGCAGCACAATGTGGAAAGGTATGGTTAACGGTCTCCTCCTTATGGAGACCGATCGCTGCAAGTGATAAAGTCGTCGATGCTGAATTAGAAGTTAATTGGGAACTGGATTGTCCTAGAAGCACAGAATATCCAGATATCATCAAGGTTTTCACTGCTGACCCAGTGCATAGTAATAAGTTTTGTTTGCTTCTTTAGCACATTGTACGACATAACATAATCATTTGCTTTTCTACTCTTTATTTAATATAACTAAGAATCAATTAGATATTATAAAATCAACTATTTACTTTGTTTTTCATCGCTTCTTTTTTTTATTTCGAATGAATGAATAAAACATCATAACTGGTCGACACGATTACGGTCATTATTTTTTTCCAGACAAAACCATCAGACCTAAATTGATCTTGTCTCCATTGGAACATTCAAGAGGATATTATCGGACCAATATCACAGTCGGTCGACCTTCATTACCAGGTGGATGGGATACTCCAGATGGTGCCACTCTTCCTGGCCCTCATTGTTTAAAACATTACGTTGCTCTTTACAAGGACGGTGATCTCTTTATGAGTTCTTGCTTGCGAATTTGGCCGACTTGGATGTACGATTTGAGGTATATATATACTCTTCAAATAAATATATTTTTTTTTTAGATTAATCAATGTATATATACTTATACGTGTATTTTAATTTGTATAAACGCGAAGAAGGCAACTTGGAAGACTACCAATCGGTAGCCTGATGATACCCGGGACCCACAACTCAGGTTGTTACAAACACGGTGATTTGACTAGAAGAGACGTTTTCCAACGTTATTTGCTAACTCAGGATCGCGACGTTTGGACGCAGTTGGTACACGGAATACGTTACCTCGATATCAGAGTTGGTTATTATCCTCCTTCCAGACCAAACGTTACAGCATCAGGTGAAGAAAGTAATAGCATCAACAGATTTTGGGTAAATCACGATGTAATAAGAATCACACCCCTCTCAGCAATTATCAAAGACGTCCGGAATTTTCTAGACGTTGCAAGAGGAGAAGTTGTTATTATGGATTTTCACAGGTCAACGAATTAAATATCATTTAATCTCATTTCTTTATCGAAAATATTATCAATGAAGATCTTATCTTTTAGATTTCCAGTTGGTTTCGAGGGTAGGCCGAGTAGGCATCGTAGACTGGCAACTATTTTACATCGAGAATTTGGTGATTTGATCTTGAAACCTGATAGAGGTGTCGTTGGCCTTGGACCGACTCTTAACGATATTTGGACGGGTGCTGGACGATTGATCATTTGCTATGGTGATAAGCATACAGTAAATGGTAATACCATTAGTGATTAGACATCAATTATTTGTTATCGTTATTTTCGATTAGGCATCAATAAGGATTGATTGTGTTGAATATTATTAGCTTACGAATGGCTTTGGCCGTCGTTGCCTCAAGCTTGGGGTAATCAGCAAACGGTGGAAGGTCTTTTCAAGTATTTGGACGAAGTGATAATGGGTCCTAAAAGATCTAGGAACAGTCCAAATCCATTGTGGGCCGTCATGGCAGAATTGACGCCATATCCGTTGGATATTATCTTCAAACCATCCGGTGGACTTCGACAAATGGCTGATGCTGTAAATAGAAATCTGACGGTGAAGTTTCAAGAGAAATGGTGGAAAGAGACTAACATCGTTGCTACCGATTTTTTCCTTGGAAATAATCTCATAGATATTTCTATACAATCGAACATCAAAAAGAGTAACATCGCCCAGTGGCGTTTTGATATATTTTAAGATATATCAACAAATTACAGACGTCCGTTCTAATCTTCAGATCAAGAGATCAATATCTTCGTATCTTATCGAAGAAAAAGTGTCTCGTTAGCAAAAATTTATAATTGATCGATCGAGGGAACGTTGTACAGTAATAAATTTTTAATCATTGATCGCAATCTTTTCTTAAAATATACTCGTATACATGAATGGTGAATATTGATGAAAAAAAGAAAAAGAATGTAAGCTGTATTTATTGATCTAATTGTCAGAATAAAAACGTTATATTTGTCGAAAATTTTATTTTGCGTTTAGCAATTAATGTGTTATATCGTTTACTGCGTTCGATAGTGTTTCCGCTTAATTTTGGTATCAACTATCTTTCGGAATTTATAATTTTCATTAAATTGTATATAGTAGTCAGTTAACAATGTGTTATAAAATAAGATAGATTTTTACCATATTCATATATGTAGAAGTTTATTGAAAATTGTGTTGATGTTCAATGTGTACCTGCTTCGTAGAAAATCGATTTCGTATACAGAAGCTAAACAGTCGGATAATCGGTTGTCATTTGACTCTCAAATAGAATCTAAGCATAGTTTCACCTCGCAAGTAGATCGTCTCTCGAGGAGTTCGACAGTTCGTCGTCATTCGGCTCGACGTGAAAACGTAAGGAGAAAGAATCTCTCTTTCTCTCTCTCTCATATTCCGTTTGCTTTTTTGCTTATTTCTTTTTTTTGCGCGTGAAATACGATGCTTTATAACGTGAATTCAAACGATGAGGGACAAGGAGAGAAACTTTGGACGATATACGCGTGGTGGGCCAGCGTTCTAATATTGAAGATGATGTCCTTGACTTGGATTACAGGACGAGTTCGCGTTGCCAAACAGGTAAAATCTTTTACGTAAGAAGAAACATAACAGCGATCAATTTTTAGAGAAAGGAAGGTTATTTTTATACTTATACGTAAAATATATTACATTTCGTTTTAACGAGATATACGAGAGAGAAGTAGAAATTAAAAAATATTTTCACCTGGTCGAATAAATGGAACTAACCAAGTTAGTTTTAATTAGCATGATCTTCAATGTCTAGAGTTCATTTCTCTATATATATATATATATATATATATATATATATATATATATCTCTTAACATCTCGGTGATATACTAATGAAGTTAATATAATGACTAAATACCTAGGTTTTTCTTCTTTAGTTTTTGGACATTATTAGAAATAATATGTTATTACGATTTGATGATAGGTGATACACAGCGAGGAGGATAGGATGTGGATGAAAAGAAATCACGTGATCCTGTGCCCAAGTGGCGGTGGACATCCGGCAGTGGATCGTATCAGGAGCGCTCATTACAATGATCTAGCGATCGTTTTACCTTATCTCTTGATCGTACCCATTTGGTTGAATACCTCGCCATCTTTTTTCTCAACTAGAGCGATAATGCTTTGTTTTGCCATCAGTAATATTTTCTCGACTTTGATGCATTTGGAAATAGTCGAGACACCTAATATTTGTCGAATACTTTCTCGAGCTTGCTGTACCTCCATTTTGGTTTATATTTGTATCTCTTGTATGGCACGATACTTAATTGTCATTTAAAAATTTGATAGCATATACGAATCGTACAGATGTGTTTTTAACTACTTGCTCTACGGATGCTCTATCTGTATCTTTTTCTCTTTCTCTCGATGATTAACAATTGTAGGATAATTTAATGTAATAATATCTCTCATATGAGTCACATCGCATTCGTGCAGAGTTACACTTTGTACATCACTTTTTTCATACGTTATTTCTTTATGATTAATAAAATTGATCAAATAAATCAAATGATTGATTGTTCATTTCAGTCATAAATTAATTCGATTATTAGGCATAAATAAATAATTAATATGGATAAAGTACAAAAATAAAAAGAATTTCTTTTTTGATAAGTTGGAATAAATGGAATTAAAAGAATAATTTCAATATCAAAAATTAAAAAAATTAATGCAATTAAAAAAAATTGAATAGAAAATGATAATCGTGAATGAGTTAAAGGATTAAATCCACATTCATATGGTGA